TTTTTCTCGATCTAAAAACTCAATTTCTTTTTTTTTTTCAATTAATATTTAAAATTTAAAAAATTAATTATTTATATATATGGAGACTTTTTCCGAGCAACCGGAGCCCGATATAGTAAAAATTTCTGTACTACATGAAGAATCAATAATTGTTGGATTTCATTTAACCGATTACTGGATTAAAGATTTAATATCCAACTTTCCGGCATCAACTTATGTAATTATCACGGATACGAACATCGCATCAATTTATCTTGAAAAATTATCAAATCGATTTAAGAGTGAATTGAATCGAGTTAAAGAATCCAATGTCTCTGTACCAAGATTTTTAACTTATACAATTCCTCCAGGAGAACAATCCAAATCAAGAGAAATTAAAGCTGAAATTGAAGATTTTCTATTAAGCAAAGCATGTACACGTGATACTTGTATTATCGCTTTTGGTGGTGGCGTTATCGGTGATTTAGTTGGTTTCGTGGCAGCCACTTTTATGCGGGGTGTGCCATTTATACAAGTTCCAACGACACTACTTGCTATGGTAGATTCGTCAATTGGTGGTAAAACTGCGGTTGATACGCCTCATGGAAAAAATTTGATTGGTTCTTTTTGGCAACCCAAAAGAATTTATATTGATATTATTTATTTGGAGACCTTACCTGAAAGGCAATTCGTCAATGGTATGGCTGAAATCATAAAGACTGCTGCAATTTCTAACGAAAGTGATTTCGTAAATCTTGAAAATGGTGCGGAGAGCATTCGTGATGCTGTACTTAAACCCAAAAGAGAATCTCCTTTTCAAGGTTAGTGGAAATCTTTGGAATAATATGAACATTTTATAATATTTATTCTTACCTTTCTTGATTACATAATAATTAGGTGCAAAAATTGAAACACGTACTTCAGGACAATCTCTTCTTTTGTCAGTGATTGTTGGATCTGCTAAATTTAAGGCACATGTGGTTACGCATGATGAAAGGGAAAGTGGTCTTCGTTCATTACTAAACTTTGGTCATACCATAGGTCATGCAATTGAAGCTATTTTATCACCTGAATTATTACATGGTGAATGCGTCTCTATTGGTATGATTAAAGAAGCTGAACTTGCACGGTATATGGGACATCTAAATCAAGTTGCCGTAGGTAGATTATTAATATGTTTATCGAGTTATGGATTACCTGTTTCTCTTGATGAAAAAAAAGTTTTAAATTTGGCGGGTGAAAAATTTTGTACTGTTGATAAATTGATGGATATCATGAAGGTGGATAAAAAAAATAAAGGTGATAAAAAAAGAATAGTTATTCTTTCTGGAATTGGAAAAACCTATGAACAAAAAGCAACCTGGGTATCTGATTCTGCAATTCGTAAAGTTCTTTCACCTTCTATCATTGTTCATCCGAATGTAACTTCTTCCAGTTCACAAACTCAGGTTACGATGACAACTCCGGGATCAAAATCAATTTCAAATCGTGCCTTGATTCTCGCTGCATTGGGAAAAGGAACTTGTAGACTTAAAGGATTACTTCACTCGGATGATACTCAAGTGATGCTTAGTGCCCTTATAAATCTTGAAGGTGCAAAATTTGAGTGGGAAGATGACGGAGAAACATTAGTAGTCAAAGGTGGGGGTGGAAATCTTAAAGTTCCTAATAAAGAAATATATCTTGGAAATGCTGGAACAGCTTCTAGGTTTATTACTACCTTATGCACATTAATTTCACCGGATACTATTACAGACACAAATAAGCATACGATCGTAACAGGAAACGCACGCATGAAACAACGTCCAATTGGTCCTTTAATAACTTCTCTTCGGGAAAACGGTTCACAAATAAAGTATCTAGAAACTGAAGGTTGTCTCCCAGTTGAAATATTGCCTAATAAACAACGATTTCGCGGTGGTTTGATAAATCTCGCCGCATCAATTTCATCTCAATATGTAACTTCAATTCTTCTAAGTGCACCATATGCTAACGAACAAGTAACTTTAAAGTTGACTGGAGGTCAAGTTATATCTCAACCTTACATTGATATGACAATTGCAATGATGGAATCTTTTGGTATTAAAGTTGAACGTTTGGAGGGTGATGTTTATCGTATTCCACAAGGTTTTTATAAGAATCCTGAAGTCTATGTAGTTGAATCAGATGCGAGTTCTGCTACTTATCCTTTGGCAATTGCGGCTATCTCTGGTATTACTTGTACTCTTCCTAATATTGGATCATCATCACTTCAAGGTGATGCTGCATTTGCTGTAAAGGTTCTTCGTGCTATGGGATGTACAGTAACTCAAACTTCTACAAGTACTACAGTAAAAGGTCCTCCTATTGGAAAATTGAAACCATTACCTGAAATTGATATGGAAACTATGACGGATGCATTCTTGACTGCATCTGTATTAGCAGCTGTTGCAACTAATCAAGAAGGAGGAAGTGAAAAATGCATTACTCGAATAACCGGAATTGCCAATCAACGAGTAAAGGAATGTAACAGAATTGCCGCAATGATTGATGAATTAACCAAATTTGGGGTTGAAGCATCTGAATTATCAGATGGTATTCAAATTCATGGTACACGAATTGAATCTCTTAAAGGACCAGCAGAAGGTGTTCATTGTTATGATGATCATCGAATAGCAATGAGTTTTAGTGTACTTGGTTGCGTGGTACCTAATGGAACTATAATATGCGATAAAAAGTGTGTTGAAAAAACTTGGCCTAGTTGGTGGGATGTTTTAGAGTCAAAATTTGGTTCTAACTTAGATGGATTAGATTTGAAATCACAACGAGAAGATTTATTGACCCAAAAAGAGATTGCAGTTTCAAATCAAGATGTTTCTATAGTTTTCATTGGAATGCGTGGGGCTGGAAAAACTTTATTAGGTAAATCTAGTGCTAAAGCTTTAGGTCGTAAGTTTATAGATATGGACGATTATTTCGAAACTGTATTATCTACAACAATTCCTGAATTCGTAAAAACCCAAGGTTGGAATGCTTTTCGTGCAAAAGAAACCGAACTTCTTGCATCATTACTTAAAACTCATTTATCAGGTTGTATAATTTCTTGTGGAGGTGGTATAGTTGAAACAGAATCTTCGCGTGATCTTTTGAAAAAATTTACAAAGGAAAAAGGCAAAGTTGTTCATATTACAAGAGATATTAAAGAAATAATTAAATATTTGAATAAAGATACGATTAGACCAAGTTATGGAGAAAGCATTCATGATGTATGGAAACGACGAGAAGGGTGGTATAAAGAATGTTCAAATTATGAATATGATTTATTGACAGCAGAAAATGTTAATAACGATATTATTGATCCATCCGAATGGAAACTAATTCAAAGAGATTTTTTTAGATATTTGAAATTTATTACTGGACAAATTACTAACAATATTGAAAAATTAAATAATACGAAATCATTTTTTGTATCATTAACTTATCCAAACATTTCACCTTCATTAAAAGATATTCCAATAATAACACAAGGTGTAGATGCAATTGAACTTCGAGTAGATCTACTCGTACAAAGTGATTCACAGAAATTTAAAGATTTTGATTATATTCCATCATTAGAATATGTTTCACAACAGTTAGCACTTATCAGACGTTCATCAACGCTTCCCATAATATTTACCGTGAGATCAAAAGGTCAAGGTGGTAAATTTCCAGATAATCGAGAGAAAGATATTTTTAAACTTTTAGAGCATGCAGTAAAATGGGGTTGTGAATATATTGATTTAGAAATTGGAAGTTCAGAAGATTTAATTTTAAATTTAATTAAGAATAAGGGATATTCAAAAATAATAGCATCTTGGCATGATATATATGGTAAAATGAAATGGGATAGTGAAGAAGTTAGAAATCGATATAAAATCGCGGAAAAATATGGAGACGTTATTAAATTGATTAGTAAAGCAGAATCTCTCAATGATAATTTAAAATTACAAGAATTTATTCAAACATTATCAAGTAAAAATTCTAAATCAATTATTGCCATTAATATGGGAACAGCGGGACAACTATCACGTGTATTAAATCAATTTCTTACACCCGTAACACATTCATTATTACCATCAAAAGCTGCACCTGGACAACTTACAGTTTGTGAAATTTATCAAGCTTTACATTTAATTGGTCAATTACCTAAAAAGAAATATTATCTCTTTGGCACACCAATTAGTCATTCAATGTCACCTACTTTACATAATACAGGATTTAAAGTATTAGGGTTACCACATTTTTATGATATATTTGAATCACAAGATGTTTCGGCGGTTAAACCAATTATTGAAGATCCAGAGTTTGGAGGAGCGTCAGTAACTATACCGCATAAAATCAATATTAAGCCTTACTTGGATGAAATTTCCGAACATGCAAAAGCAATAGGAGCTGTTAATACGATTATAACAAAAAATGATGAAAATAACAAACGAAAATTAATTGGTGATAATACAGATTGGTTAGGTATTGTTTACTCTATCAAAGATTTAATTGAAATTGATTCCAATACGTCAGCATTAATTATTGGAGCTGGAGGTACTTCAAGAGCTGCATTATATGCCGTAAATCAACTTGGTGTTAAAAATATTTATTTATATAATCGTACACTTGAAAATGCCAATATTTTAATCAAAGAATTTTCAACTTATGGAATTAAACCTTTAACATCTCTTTCAAATTCTTTACCAATTCCACCTAAAATAATTATATCCACAATACCAGCAACAGCTAATTTAGATATTCCAGATGAATTATTTAAATCTGGTAAAGGAGGAGTTAGTATAGAAATGGCATATAAACCTAGAAGGACCAAGTTTTTGGAGAAGAGTGAATCTATGGGATGGCACGGAATTGAAGGAATTAGAATATTAATTGAACAGGGAATTTTTCAATTTGAAAAATGGACAGGTAAAAGAGCACCTAGAGAATTTATGGAAGAGGAAGTGATGAAAAAATACAATATATAAAAAAAAAAAATTATTTAGATTTTATATTTATATTTTATATTTATATTTTATATTTATATTTTAGGTTTATATTGCTTTATATATTTTATATTTATATTTTAAAACTTATATTTATTTTTATATTTATCTATTTAGAGCATAAATTTTTAAGATCGTAAATATCTACAAAAATGCATCGAAATTTATTATATAACGAAAATATAATAATAATAACATAGCAGCAATAATAAGATAAAATGAATTTATTAGTTTTAGTTAAAAACCTTAATGATGATTAGTATTGAACAGAACAAATAAATGTATTTATTTACATTGCATTGTAGAATTTAATAGAATATAAGAATATTAATATCATAATAATCATATTTATAAGTACAACTATTAATAAATTCCTTTTTTTTAAAAATAATATAAAGAAAAACTTTTTAAATAATTTATTAATAATAAATAATAACAATACATATTGTCAAATATCAAAAAAAAAAAAAAGATATAAATAATTTTTTTCAAAATAATTCAATCTTACCTTTCCAACCTAAACAATCACGTTCTAACCTATTTAAACATTCCATTACTTCCGCTAACTTTGGATCTAATGATTTAACAAAAACTTCATCCAATACATATGCATATTTATCTTTATATTGGCTTATTATCAAATAAATCAATAATTTTTGTTAAAGATTTAATAAATATTATAATAATATTATAACGAATGATAAACAATACGTATAATATATTTTTTTCTAAAAAAAAGGATACTAGACTTTAGGAGGAGGTTGTTTGGAAGTTCCCAAAATACCATTTTTGGGTGAAGATTTATGAAATTGTAATGCATATATAGAATTTACTATATATGATCCTTCAACATGAAATTGAATTACTAAATCTTCTGGTAAATTAGAACTAAACATCTTTAAAAAATAAAATAAATTAACAATTAATTAATAATATTGATTAAAAATAAATTAATGATAAAAAGAATAATACCTGTGGATCACAAATTTTATATGGAAATAATTTTTCTTGATTTGCATAATTTAATACTGATCTACTACTAGATAAATATTTAAAAACAGTTTCCAATAACTAGAATATATGTAAATAAGATATGTGTATATATAAGTATATATTATCAATAAATTCAATAAATTAGAATTTATAAAATTTATTATATTTAATATTATTCTAATTTTGATAATTAATCTCATTTACCTCAAGAGCACTTTCTTTTGTATAAACTTTATTCGAATATTTTAATATATCTAATGCTAATGTAATATAATTTTGTGCATCTATAAGCTAAAATGAAAAAAAAAAAGAAAAAATAAAAAATAAAAAATAAAAATAAAATAATAATAATAAAAGTAAGCAAAAGTAATTAAGATTAATAAATTTGAATTGAATAAAAATATTAAAAATGATCAAATTTTATCAAATTTTACCTGTTCAATAAAATACGGTTTTTTGGAATTAATAATTAATTTAATTAAATTACCACGATTATAATTTGGTAATTTTACTTGTAATTCCTTCAATTATCAATTTTTTTTTGCGAGAGTAAAGATTAATAAGAAAATATCATTAATAAAAAAAATACTTTTTCTTAACTTTTTAAACATCAATAAAAATAATCTTAATAAAATTATAATTATAAAATTACTGACCCCTTTTATAATATCACTCCCATCTAATGTAATATAACCTTTCAAAGCATCACTGCTACAAAAATAAATACAAAAAAAATATATTTAAAAAAATTAAGAGACAAT